CAACTTGCTCCTCAATTCCTCTTGTATTTCTTTCTGCTTTATCTCAAATTTGGCTAGCCTATCTTCAGTTTCTTTAGACATTTTTCTTGTGTCGTGCTGAGCGTTCTTGCTTCAAGGAAAAACTAAGATCACTTCGTTTGAAATCCTTATTTTAATGAATGAATGTTTTAATGTATTATGACATAAAAAATGCAAAGATACCAAATGCAAATGTAAATATGTGAATGTAATAACAAGAATACAAATTGTGCAATACAAATGCAAAAATGCCAAATGTAAATATGCAAATGTAAAAATGTAAATGTAAATTATTTAAAATACCAGAATAGGACATCCAGTTATATTAAGACTGCCCTTTTCTTTGATATTGAAAATAAATAAACATTATTATTTAATTAAATATGTTTTAATGCATGATGTAAATTTAAAAATGTAAATGTAAATACAAACGTAAAAATGTACAAATGCAAAATACAAATGCATGTATGAAAAGGTGTTACTCAAGAGTGATCATCTTAGAACAGATTTCATTGAACGCAAAAGTTTCGGTACATCAAACAAAACTTTACATGTAGGGATATATTTCATTCCTAACTTCTCCAAAGCCAAATTAGTCTATCAACTTAAGGGACATATTGCTTGTCTGGACTGCAACCTTTTCCATGACATTCTCTTTCATTTTCTGTCACTTCTCGGAGTTGCTCATTTTCCCTTGTAAGAGATCTTTTCTGTCCAAGAAGTTCTTGAACAAGATCTTCATATATGTTGCAGTTCTTTTTCAGCTTGGTGACCCCTGTTATCCATTCTTCTGGGGTACTTCCTAGGCCAGCATTTTGAAAGGTTTGACTGATCTTCTGAAAATCTTCATGCATGGTTTTCATTTCTGTGCTCAATTTCTCGTTTTGGTCGTTCAAGTCCTTCAAATAACATGCTTGAGCTTCATAAAAATCTCCACTACTCTGAATGTCCCGACTGATACTCTTACCATAGACTGCTTTTGGTATCAATCTGGCAGAATCTTTGTGGAGTACTTTTGGTATTAATATAACCGGTTCTCTGTGTGCAGAACTTCCCTCGATCCTCGTAGTTTCTTCAGGATGTCTTTCCTTGGCCGCATCATATTTTGTTTGATCATAAAACTTTTTGTCCATTTACGATTTCTTTCCAATATGATGAACAGTCTTTCCAGTAAACACCTTTTGATTATGCCATGATCATGCAATGTAAACAAAAGAAAATAAACAAATTAGAGCAATGTAACATGCATGGAAAAATAAAAAAACAAAAATAGAATAATTAGTACCAACTAATGGAAAAATATATCTATCAAGGTATAAATCTTAACCTCATGCTTTCTAGTTCCATGCTTTGTTTGGAAAATTTAACCTAACCGCATGATTTCTAGTTCGCATGCATTTATTCAGGAAAAAGAAATAAATTAAAAGCTAGAGTTTATTTCTCCTTTGTGTATACCTACTGACAAAATTTCAGCATGGTTTCAGATCGGGAGAGTTTCTAGGGTTTATTATATGCAGGTTTTTAGTTCTAGGAGTAAAGGTACTCGAACTGTCCTTATTGATGCCCCCTTGGGCTGTCAAACCCTCAATCCTAGTCCATTACAGACTTAAGCGAATCGAGTTCAATTCGAAGGGACACATTTCTTTATGACTGACACGGAGAATAAATTCTCACGAAGACATAGAGCATATGAACCCCGAAAGTTACTTGCTAGGTCTGACACGGAGAATAAATTCTCACGAAGACGTCGCTTTCACTCCCACTTAAAAGGGACAAACTCAATTATAGAGCTTTATGTTATGCAATGCAAGTGTTGTGTGTGAGGAGAAATGTTCAAACCTCTGACATAAAAATAAATAATGAAAAAAAATACTTGCAAATAAAATGAAATATTAATAATATATATAAATACTATAAAAATAATATGTATATATATAAAAAAATTATAAATTAAATATATGAATTTTTAATTTATAATTAATAGAGACAATTTATAATTGATTTTTAAAAGCCTGACAAATCCCCAGCAGAGTCGCCAAGCTGTCGTAACCGGTTTTCGTCCGGGCACGAAAAATTTAACTTGGCGGGAAAAATAATGTGAATAAATGGTTTAAAATGTTTTAGGAGTCGCCATCGGCCTTTTGGGTTAGGTAGGTCGAATACCTAAAAATTATCTTTTAAAAGAGTTTTTAAGAAAACATCATTTAAAAGATGAACTGATCTGCGTTTATAACCAAAAATTCATTCTTTTTATTTATAAAAAGGGATTCGTGGTCGGTTACATTTAGGGAAGGATTAGCACCCCTACAACGCCCAAAATTAGTACTTTTTAATTAGAATTTATCTCTATTATTGAAAATTTAAAATTTCAAAATATATTTAATTCATAATCATGTTATTTCAAATTTATTACTATAATTGTAATAAAATCTATTGATTTATATATAAATAAAATATTTATTTATTAAGAAATATCAGAAAAGGACTTCTAGGTGCCTTAAGACAGCTCTTTTCTTTGATATTAAAAAATAAATAAATATAAAAACATTTTTCTAAAAATAATAATAAAAAATAGATTAATATATATAATTTATAAAAGTAAGATGTTTATTTATTTAAAATATCAGAAAATTGACATCGAGTTGCTTTAAGACTGCCATTTCTTAATATTTAAAAATAAGTAAACATTGTTATCTAATCGAATTAAAAATTTATAATATTGCATTTCATATAAATATTAGTGAATAAAAATATGAATAATAAATATATGAATAAATAAATAAATAAAATACTAATTTAAACATATAAATGATAAAAATATAAAAAAATGACCAAAAGAAAATGATATCTAAATTAATGAACCTAACTCGAAATATAAAAATATATTTGATAATAGTGTAAATATCCCTTTATTAATCGGTGATTAGAATAATAATTATTAAAACTACAATGGTTAAATAAGTTATTTTACCTTAAAATATATATAAGCATATCATGTACTAAATTATAAAGTAAATAAAACTATAAGACCGAATTAGAAGTTTAGGATTTGATTTCAGTGACCAAATTGTAAATTTATAGAACTCAAGAGGACTACATAAATGGTTTACCCAAATTAGAAATTACACAAACATCCCTCACCAAAACTACGTAGTTTTGGTGAGGGTTTAAATACCCTTTAATTGTCCCAAATGATCCATTTTCCCTCATTTTTCATTTTTTCACTCTCTCTCTTAAAGAGAGAGATGACAATTCTCTCTAACTTCTCTCTAGTCCTCTCTCACCGGAGGTGATCCGGTCATCGATTGGTCGACTTGCTCCGACGCCGGCAGCCCCCGCCGGCCACCACCCGCGGTGGTCGGAAATATTTTTTTTACACTATTTTTTTTTATTTTTCCTAAACCCGAATCTGAGATTATTTTAACCTAAAGAGCATTTAATCTTAATATATCTACAATAATACCTTCGAACTCCGGTGGTTTCCGGCGACGTTCGGGTTCCTTGCTCCGGTAAGTTTCTTCACGATCTTCTCTTTCTGTTTTGGTGCTTGTTTGTTGGGTATTTTCTCTAGCTTCCTTCTCTTGCTCTCTCTATCGATTCCCTTCTTCTTTTTGCAGGCTCGGTGGTGGCTTTTATAGCCACCACAAAGCTCTCTATGGACCGGGTAATAAGGGGGAGTTCGGTGAGTCACCAAACTATGGTGGTGACTCACCTATAGCTTCAACGTGGAGGGGCAGCTGTCGCTGGAAGCTACTGGAAATGCTGCGTGGAGGGGCTGCTGCAGCTGCTGGAAATTGCTGGAAATGCAACGTGGAGATGCTGGAATGGAGAGGTAAAAATGGTGATTACAAGTTGCATAAAGATTACTTGATTCTTTTAATGTTCGATGTCATTCTCAATGCAAGATTTTGTTTTTTTTATGTAAGAGTTTTTTGTGTGTGACTATTCCTCATTTTTTTTTCTTTGGATGCATTGTAATTTTGATTCATTTCATTATTTTTATTAATGCAACACAGTTGTCATTATTCAAAAAAAATGAATTATGAAATAGGAAAACTAAAAATAACGAAATAATATGTATATTTATTAATCGATAAGTTCATATGGGGTAGTAAAATGTATTATATTTTTAGAAAAAATAATATTTGAATTTAAAAATATTGTTAAAAATTCCGAACCTGAATCATAAAATGAGTACCGAATTTATTAAAAAAAAATTATACACATGTCCATTGATTGCTCACGTTATTTAATGAGGTTTGATATTGAAAAATGAGCTTGTATCATACAAATTGTTGATCAATATCCTATAAATTCAGGATAATTGTACATTATATTGATAATGGAGAATTTCATAAAAAAATTAAAAATTATTAGATACAATTTGATATTTTAAATAATAAATAATAAATTTATAGATTATCCCTAGAGAAAATATAAGTTCATATATATATATATATATATATATATATATGTGTGTGTGTATATATATTCTCAAAGTTGGTTTTGCATGTTTAGCTAAATCCAACATCTTTTAGTTTTTCAATCTAATATAAGTCTATAGATTATCCTTAGGAAAAATATAACTTTATTTAGTCAAAATTAGTTAAAAATTTAATTGATTTAATTTCTAAATCAAGGGTTTAATTAATTAAATTAATTATGTGACTTCAGTGATAAAAATGAAATGTTGTTCTTTTTAAAGGTCTTAGGTTTGAGCAATTGTGTCTACAAGATGCACGTGCGTTGTTAATGACTAATAAAATTCGAAACATATATTACCTTATAATTACCTAAGACTGTTAAAAAAGCTTAGTTAAATTAATTTTTATTTAAAAAATTAATTCAATATAAAATTTTGAATTTTTCTAAAAAATTTGAAGACTTCGGACAGATAAACCCAGACGAAAAATTTTAAGTTTTTTTAATTGGTACAACATTTGTTGGGTCTTTCATCTCTCTCAGGCATATAAACCCAGACGAAAAATAACATTGGGAAGTTTGAGCCCAATTGATTCATTGGTCTTTTATAATTTTGATTTTTGGTGTCTTAACCCAAATTGAATTACTATGAAGAAAGGAGATTCTGTCAGCAAAATGCAGCTTTGGCAAACTGTTGACCCCTGGGCATGCAAAAACGGTAACGAATTTAAAGGAGAAGCAGGGGGAAAAACCCACTGTTATAGCAGTTTTGCAGCATTTCTTGGGTTCTAAGACAAAGGAAACTTCTGGGTTCTTAGAGAAAGCAGACAGAACTACAATGGAGGTAGAATTGTAAGAGATGCTGGATGACATCTTGTCTCTAAGGCAATCTTTGTCTGATCCTTCTCTTCATGCTTCCATTGACAAGGTTCAGTTTTCGTCTATCTAAGATTACATACAAGCATGCTTAATAGCATGTTTAGACCACTGGGTGATCTGCGAAGTTTGTAGCTTTATTGTGTTGTTGAATTGTGAAGAATGAGATTCGTCTCAGTTCTGGATTGATCCTTGTCGATCTATCCGCCGTCTCTTTTGCTACATTTTTTTTGGTTTTGTTCGGTTTCGGAAGTAGACTTTTTTTTTTTACTTAGTTTGCTAATTTGTGTATTTGAATACCTTTTTCATGCACTTTTCGTTATCTACTAATGAAGGTTGCTAATGTAGTGTCCCTGTTCTTTTTATAATGATTAGGTTCTGTTAGGTATGGATCAATTAATGTTTCTGTGATATAGAATTTATATATGACATAGGGGAAAAGTTTAAAATTTATGTTTTAGTTATGAAGATGGAGAACTTTGTAGTTAACGATGTTCGAGTCATTTACTTTAATTGTAACTTGTTTATACATTTTCCAGCTGCAATCGTGTGTTGATCGTTACTCATCTTGCTAAGTCTGTACCTGTTCGGCGAACGAAAGTCAAGGTTTCTGTTTCATGCACTTTGTCCGTGGCATTTATTTTTCTAGTTCCTATTGGCATAGTCTTCTGGTTATGGTTTTTGATTGTGACACTAATGCATGTCTAATCACTCCGGCGGCAGGATATGAGTGCTGAGTGGTTGATAGCAATCCTTATAGTACGCTCATGGCACTTCAAAGAATGGGAATTGTAGAGAACTATGAAAGGATCCGGGAGTTCTCCATTGCAATAGTTTATGTTTTTGTCTTCTGATTTCTATGTCATTTTTCGATAAAGCCTTTGTCTAGCGCATACTATCAGTTCCATCATGTCACTGTAGATTGAAAATTCTTGTTGTATTGATTCTGTTCTCATTGATAATCTTCTTGAACTTGCAGGGTATTGGTGGTGTTGGCAGTGTTGCAGCTGAGATGCTAACAAGGTGCGGCATAGGTCGACTTTTGTTGTATGATTATGATAAAGTGGAGTTCGCTAACATGAACAGGCTATTTTTTCGTCCAGAGCAGGTGTATGTACATGCCCTTTTCCAAATTATTTCGTTTTGGCTTCCTGTTGGAAAACGGCATGTTTTATCATATACATTACCAAAAGTGCCACCAATTCCCTGCCCCTTGAAACTATGGTTTTTGCATTGATATAAAGCCAGAAGCTTGGTTTTGTACCTTAATTTGAATAATATGATTTTCAAATTTTCCTTCTCTATGAAAGTTGGTATGACAAAGACTGATGCTGCTGTTCATACCCTGTCGGACATAAATCCTGATGTTTTGCTTGAGGTAAGTGTTTTTCTTTAAAAAAAAAATTCTACATTTGGTAATGTTTGATTTCTAATCTTATCAGAATTTGATATGGTAAACGTGTTATGCATACGTTTATCATTTACTCCACTGTGCATTTTAGAACTTACCCCATTGATTGGTTCATTTCTTTAGAGCTATACACTGAACATTACCATTGTAGAAGGCTTTGAAACCCTTATGTCAAGCTTAAAGAATAAACATTTCGCCCAAGAAAGGAAGGTACCGGAGTGGATCTTGTTTTAAGCTGTGTAGACAAATTACAAAGCAAGGATGGTGGTCAACCAGGTAACACTGACTTTTTGCAGTAAACACACTTCATTCTTTTAGGCCTACGTTGATAGGTGCTGAGTTTGATGAGTGATGACTCCTTGTATATGAACTGTTTACCATTATACAATATTGAATTTTGCTTCTGATTTTTTGTTTATATACAGGCTGGCAATGAGTTGAATCAAGCATGGATGGAATCTGGTAAGAGCTTGTTTTTCAATAGTTACTAATCAGGTTAACTCATTGGTAGAAGTATGATATGGTAAGAAGTATCTTCTAGTGCTTTTATATTTCAATCGGATGACAAGTTTCCTTTTGAAAGATTCTTGTAATCCTGAAATCAAAGACTAGTTACATTTATTGAAAGCTTCAAGAAGCCTGATCTCAGGCACTTCCACAATAAATAGTTAAAGCTAAACTATGAGACTTTTAGGATGCATATGGACTGTTCACTATACATGGATTAATTATTCGTATAATGACATAAAATTTTATTTGCAGAATTGGACTTATCATTGAAACATATGCTAATTTATGCTACAGTGTATTTCCTTTTCATGTGTCATTTGACCTTTTAGAGGTTTTTATACTAGTGAATAGTAAAGTTTCACTTCAGCCTTGAACATTCTGAGAAGATTCCAAGATATAAAAAAATGCTTGATTTGTCCGCTGCTGCTTCAGATTACTGAACAGAGGAAATTTTGGAACAAGTGTATCTGAGGATGCAGTTTCAGGTCATATACAGTTGCTAATTCCGGGAGAAACTGCTTCCTTTGCATGTGCACCTCCTTTGGTACATTCATCAATTAATCTATTATATCAGCTTAATGTAGATGTGAAACGCCTAGTGCATATTTGTGTACAGTTAGGTTATATAATCTTCAAAAAGAAATATGTGTGCTATACTATTCCGTTTAAGGTTGTAGCATCAGGAATGGATGAACAAACAAGGGGTTTGTGCCGCATCCTTGCCAACTACCATGGTATGTTTTTCCTCTTTTTCGGCATCATTTGGCTTTTTCTTGTTTGTAGTATTCTTGCATGCATCTGCATGTGAACATACAGCATGAATTCATCTACTTATATATATGGAGTGAGAGAGATACAATTATAATGCATGAATGATTCTATCTATACTCTCTCTCTCTCTCTCTCACACACATATGTTCACATACATCTATGGATGCGTAAGGCATGTGTGTCAATGTGTGTGCACACGTGTACTTGTTTATGTCTTGCAACTGCAGATGTGATTGTTTATTGTCCTTTCAGCATGTACTATTTGGCACCCAAATCATTACATTGAATTTTAGCATCTTTATTAGGAAATCATTAAGTTCTCAATATACTGTTTGGTAAAAGAACTTTTATCATCCTTTTCCTAATATCCAGTATATGAACTAACTTTTCAGGGAGTTGTGGCTCGGCTTCTAGTCCAAAATACTTTAAAGTTCTTGTTGGGATTTGGACATGTTTCTCCCTACTTGGTAAATCATACATCAACTATCTCTCCCTCCCTCCCATCTCTGTAAACTGTGTCTCTAGTTTAATCCTTTGCTTTATGTTACCTGTTCTTACCGGGTTACTAATGGCTTCTTGTGCTTACCTTTGTTTTTTGATAAATTTTGCTCTGTTTCTGATTGTAGGGATACAATTCTCTTAAAGATTTCTTCCCAACAATGGCAATGAAGCCAAATCCCCAATGTTCAAATGCTGCCTGTCTGAAGCAGCAGGTAAGATAAAAGAGATTTCTGTCTTTTCAGTCATTTCGGTTTTCTTCATCTGATGGAATGGATTATTGCTTTGCAGAAAGAATATATTCTTGCAAATCCATCTAGGGTTGCTGCGACTAAAGCCAAGATAGAGGCTGAAGCCTCAGCTGCAGCAGCAGCAGGTGTGCCACTTCATGTTGATAATGAATGGAACATAAGGTACAAATCACAACTCGGGAAGATGGACTAGTGCCATCTTACACAACCTTCAACTCAAATTCTGGAAATTAGTACTCATTTTATTTTTGGTTTACCTAGTTATATATTTCTTACATTTTTCCGGATTTACAAATATATATAATGATTGACTGACTACTTCCTATAATGTTAAAAGATGTTAGAGATTTTTTGCATTTATTGTATTCATGGATCATATCGTTGTATGGCTTTTACTTCGGGGGATTAACCAGCCTCTGCAATTTTGTTTTTTGTAGTGTTGTCGATGATAATGAGAAGGAGAAGAGTACAAGTGGCTCAAGCTCATGTATATTTCTTTTCTATGCTCTCTGTTTTGAACATTCTTCAAGTTTTCCATTTGCCTGTTTTCCTTTTGTATATGATTGTATCATCTTCTTACAAAGTTCTGAATATGCGAATAGAGGTCCTTTATACCAAATTTTTAGAATTAATACGTCCAGTCGCTTCCTTTTTAAACTCACCAATCTCTTAAAAATTTGAGCTTTGGATGTTCAAAGGGCACAGTTACCGTACCCAAAAAAAAAATAGCTGTCTTAGCTGCTCATTGACACATGGTAATAGCCGGTAGCATGCCGTTCTCATCCTGGTTATAAAGATTAAGCGTACACCAAAATCTCGTTTTGGGACCGGTTTTCTTCTACATTCAGCATGACTGCCAAGTCATTTGGTATAAAAGTGCATGGACATCATTCTGGTCTTCTTGATTTAACATACATACATGCATACCTTGAAACTTTAAATCGTTCCTTTTATTACCTTTCATTTTTCTTGTTATTTTCATGTACCCCTTTTGTTTGATTTCACTATTTTATTTCCCTAAAGCCACTTGCCCCTATTCATACAGATGCGCTTCCTGAGTGAGGTCCTGAAGGCCTCACTCGTGAGCTCCCGAGTGCCAATGAATTTCAAAAGCCCCAGCCATCTGGAGCCACAGCTACCACTATCGACGACCTTGAAGATCTCAGGAGGCAACTTGATGCTCTGGATGCCAATTAATGCCCCGACATAACTGCTAGTTGAAAGACAGGTAACGTCCTTGGCCAATTAGGAACACTCCTAGAGTTTAAAAAAGCAGCTCTCGGGGGTTCAACATTCAAGCAAATGATCTAGCCATTCCCAAAATTTTATACCTTTTAGTGTTCAACAGATTTTCATTCAACAAATCTATACTATACCAAAAGTTTAGGAGCATGCAGATATATTAAATACAAAATGAGCATAAATAGTTACTGTGCTACAGTTACAACATCAAATACAAAATAAGTAACAATCTTGTTTGTCAAGTTGAAAAGTGATACATGGATCTAAAACTACAGCTCTTTGAACTGCAACAAAATCTGGTCCATCTGTGGCTGATGTTTTCTGAACTGCAAGCGAAAATACAGATTCATTTCAGAAACTTGATACTCTGATCATAAAAGCTACAATAGTTCAAGATAGCTTTACTGAGTAAAATTAATACTGTTGATGAAGGCTTATATTACCTTAACACCAGCCATCGAGAGCAGCTTGCGTAAAGCAACATATGAGGTGTCTGTATTCAGTCTTTTTTCTATAAAATATATGACTTCTGATACACCTGACTGCATGATAGCCAAAGCCATAGAGGGTAAACCACAATGAGGACCTAGCAAACATAAATTGACAAATTGGTTTGAAGTATCAAGAGACGCATTGGAACCAAACCTGAATGATTATATTTGCACATTCATTGCAAGGGAACATGGCCACATAAAGCTTCTGCAAAATTTTACAAGATGGAAGATCCTGTGAGTGCCATTACTAGTAAGCCTTTAAAAGGAAAGCAATTGAGTACAAAAATCATAAGAAAATACAAATATGAAGTTTTCATACTATATTTTAACTTGGAGTCTTTTAAATTTTGAATCATGAACGTTATCAAGCATTGCGGGTTCGTGCATTTAGCAACGCAAATAGAGAAGTTAACTGACCTGACCAGTGCAGATGCATGATTTGTATTCAGGATCGCATTGACTTCAGCATGGCAAACATACCTACAATAGATGGTTCAAAATAAGTATTAAGGACGCATGCAATCAACGGCAAGAATGATTTTCGATTCGATGAAAGAAGAAGCAACTAACTCATATTCTGGGCATACAATTTGATCAAAACACAAATCAAGATGTGTGAGAGATCAGGGAAACATGGTACTCACGGATAATTTGACTCCAGTGGATCCCCAGATGTGGACATCTGAGACATCATTAAAAGCACAAATTTATTACAAGATATAGGCCTTAAAGATGTTGGAACTTTGAAGCTTATGCATTAATAACATATATCAAACCTTTGCCCAAGGAAGCTAGTCATCAGAACAACCTCTCGGGAACCCATTATATCCGATGCCTGACAAAAGAAAAAAAAACATAATCCATAAACAATGCCTGCCTTGTTTTGCTAACTTCAACTCTAATTTTACCAAGTATTATACCGTTTTGACTCACCAAGGATGCACCAACCTGGAAAGAAGGGGGAAAAAACAATACAAATAGTCAAATACTAAAATCAAAGTTCACAGTTTTAACTTGGTTTTTCAAACAAACATGCCAACTGCAAAATTAAGCACTTTGGGTAGGTACGGTTACACATTGTTTAATGAAAAATTGAAACCTCTTAACAAAAGAAGTATGAGATCTTTTAGCGGATAAGAATGCAATTGCCATAAAATAGACATCCCAGGACATATATCTGCAACAAAACACAAATTACCCATTTTTTAATAATAAAAATAGACGAGATCTTTAACCAAGAATACAAATCACAAATATTTTACTAACCCTTTGCGTTTCGAAGGGTCGAAGGGATCCTGAGAGGACCGATTCTTTGAAATGTCATCGTTTTCGGACGAATTGTTTCGAGAAGATCGTTTACTAGGGTTGGAGAAGAAATGAAGAATGTACGATAAGCAAAAGCAGAGGCTAAAGCGCCAAAGATAGTGTTGCGGAACACGGCTATCGGATATAGTAAAATCACAATTGATAATTTGATAAAATAAAAATGAAGATAAAGAATACACAAATTTTATGTAGAAAATTCTTAAATAATATAGGGTAAAAACTACGGGCAAAGATAGAAGAATTTCACTATGAGAAAATAAGAATTACAACTTCTCTCGATTTAACAAGGAGAAAACAATAACAATTCTCTCTTGATAAAAAGGAGAAAACAACTCTCAAGAAAACTCTCTAAATTCTCTAGTATTGGGAGAAAGTTAGAATGATTTGGGATGGTTTTAAAGTTAAATGGGTTAGGGTATTTATAGTTGAAGCTTAAGGACTAATCTTATAAATACCTTAAAGTACAGGGACTAAATGTGCAATTTTACCATCCCATTTATTTCAACAATTTCAGTTGCCAACTTGTTGAATCGAAAATCACCGAAAGTTTGGCCAACTTTCGGTGCCACTAATTTTCAACAGTCTCCCACGAAGATTTGATTGGAACAATCATATTTTCACACCATTTTTTCTACCTTGTATCATTATGTTGCTTACGTCTCTGACAGGCCACAAGATGATCAACATCAAGTAAATTTATTAGCATTGATCGCCTTTGTCATGAAATATGCTATGGTGTCTTTGGTATGGATTTTCTACATATCTATCGTCCATTCTTCCACCTTTTCACGAATAAAATGGTACTGAATTCGTATGTGCTTTGTCCTTGAATGAAATGTTGGATTCCTTGCTAAATGCAAGGCGCTTTTGACTGTCACAAAACAGAGAGACATACTCTTTATTGTGCCCAAGCTCCTCCAATAGCATTTTCAACCAGATTGCTTCTTTACCGGCTTGTTTACCTGCTACATATTCTGCCTCTGTTGTGAATGTAGCCACAATTGACTGTAATTTTGAAACTCATCTTACAGCTCCACAAAAAATTTTGAACACATATCCTGTAGTATATTTGTTTTTATCCAAATCCCCTGCATAGTCAGAATCGACATACCATTTATAAGTAAGTTTGATCATCCGTAACATAATGCAACATTTGAGGTCCCTTTGATGTATCTCAGGATCCTCTTTACTGTATTTCAATGATCTTTGTCTGGATTCGCCATGTACCGACTAACCACTCCCACTGCTTGTGCAATGTCTGTTATTGTGCATATCATAACGAACATTAAATTTCCCACTGCCGATGCATACGGTACTCGAGACATCTACATCCTCTCTTTTTCACTACTAGGACTCATATTGGAGGATAATTTGAAGTTAATAGGAAGAGGGGTAGAAAATGACTTACAATCTTGCATGTTGAATCGTGACAAGATCTTCTTCAAGTAATTATTTTATGAAAGCCAAATCTTCCTATTACTTCTATCTCGGTGAATTTGCATTCCTAGAATCTTGTTTGATGATCCCAAGTCCTTTATTTCAAATTCCCTAACCAGTTGTGCATTCCATTCTTCAATATGATCATTGTTGGGTCCTGCAACCAACATGCATCTACATACAACAGTAATATAACAAAATCGTTATCATCAAACCTCTTGAAATAAGCACAAGGGTCTACATTAAGTCTGTTGTATCCAAGGCACATAATGAAGGAATCAAATCTCTTATACCAACACGTCGACGTCTGTTTTAGACCGTACAGAGATTTGTTTAACCTGCAAACCAAGTTCTTCTTTTTCTTTTTCTTCAAAACATTCATGCTGGAGCATATAAATCTCTTCTTCAAAATTTCCATGAAGAAAAGTTATTTTAACATCTAGCTGCTCTAGATGTAAATTCAATGTAGCACACATTGCCAAGACTACTCGAACTGTTGTTAGTCGAACCACAGGAGAAAAGATTTCATTAAAATCAATACCTTCTTTTTTAGCATATCCTTTGACCACCAGTCTTGCACGATACCTCTCCACTTGATCGTTATTATTTCGCTTGATTTTGAAGACCCATTTGTTACCAATTGGTTTCCTTCCTTGTGGTAGTGGCACAAGGTCTTATGTATTATTTTTATGAAGGGCTTCAATTTCTTCTTGCATCGCCATCATCCATAGTGAAGGATATGAGCTATTTATTGCCTCCTGGTATTTTGATGGCTCACCGTCCTCTGTTAAAAGGCAGTATGCAATATTTCCTTCTATAACATAATCTGAGTGCCAATTGGGACGTCTTTTCACATGATCTGATTGATGAGATGTTGGAGCTTCAGAACTCTTTGGTTCTTGTTCATCATGTGTTGGTTCTGTTTCAGAAGAATCTCCTTGTTCAAACTTCTTTTCCACATGTTTTTGTGTAGTCTTTAACTTTTTAGCGCTATCATCGTCTTCTTTTCTTTGTAGTTTATCTTCTACAAAGATAACATCCCTGCTGATGATCATTTTGCGGGCAGTGAGATCTCACAAGCGATACCTTTTTACTCCATCAGCATATCCCAAGAATTTGCATTTCCTAGATTTTGGATCAAACTTTGAAATTTCTTGGGAGTTGTACATCACATACACAATACTTCCAAATACATGGAGGTTTGAATAATCAACTGGTTTACCAGTCCACATCTCCATTGGTGTCTTCAACTCTATTGTAGTTGATAAAGCTCGATTCACCAAGTAACAGGAGGTATTGACTGCTTCTGCCCAAAATGATTTTTCTAGTTCTGCTTCCCTCAACATTGCTCTTGTTATTTCTAACAAGGTTATTTTCATCCGCTTTGCCACTCCATTTTGTTGAGGAGTGTTCGCCACAGTGAATTATCTTTTGATGCATTCTTTCCTGCAAAAGTCGTCAAATTCTTCACTTGTGTATTCTCCTCCATTATCTGTTCTGAAACATTTGATCTTATTTCTATAATCAAGTTCCACCCGCGCTTTGAAGTTTTTGAAAGGTGAAAACACGTCTAGCTTCTTCTTAATAAGGTATACCCAACATCTCTTGGATTAGTCATTAATAAATGAGACAAAGTATTTTGCTCCGCCTAGGGATGTAACTGGTGCTTGCCATACGTCAGAATGAACCAATTATAGA